TTTTTCAGCGTGCATCTCAGAAAATAATACATAGGACATGTATTGCAATGGTACAAACGATCGAAGCATTCTACTGTAAGCACATGTCAATGTGAGCTTTGTGCTGCAGTGCATAAGATCGACTGCAGTTGTATTGTCGATGAATTAACCCGAGAAGCGAAATTATGGTTCGGCATTAGTAGTACAGCTTTGTAGTTCCTTTCTGAAGCATTTCAAGGACTAAATCACCACTTGAATGCGCTCCCTATCGAAATCCCGGTCGCGGGTCTTGCGAACGAACACTTGACGAAGAACATTAGGAGCCGCGAAGGCGAAGATCTTGGCCAGGACATGCTGGTCTGGTATCGGAAGATGCACTTGCTGAGCCTGGCTTTTCCTCTTTTTGCTCGTGTCATGTGACACCACAAGCGACGATAGAACACTCAGAAAAGCAATTTTAGCTTCAGTCGCGAGGTGAAGACCGCGGTTTACTGGTGTAAGATGGTGCTTCCTGATATCGGTCATATACTGTGCATACCTCACTGGAAAGACAATCTCCACGTATTCCAGAGTTTTGTTCGCCTCCAACATCCCCAAAAGTTCAGACACATCAGCGTCTACGACCGATGGACGATAATCTGCTGGGGTTTGTGTCCAATTCCCCCACCAATCAGGGAACAAGCGGACACGAAGGCGACGAGCACTTCTAGCGATCGGATTGCTAGGGTCACTGAGGTCTACTTCGAGCTCGGTAACACTGTTCCAGTTGCACTTTAAAGGGGGCAAAGGCTGGTTGTGTTCATGATACTGAGAGAAATCGAGTCGGATGTCCACGAAGTATCCCAAGACAGAAAGTGTCTCCAAGTTCGGGCAAGTCTGAGAAATAGTGTCTGGATCCAGCTCCTCCATCGGCCCCTCAAGTGTCAAGTGCTTTAAAGACCCACCGACCGCCGCTAGAAAACGAGGCAATCCATCCGACTCGGACATTTCGTCCTTGTCGAAGGCAATTTTTTAGCTCCTGTAAACCATTTGGACTGGCGTTCACGGCTCTGCTTTGAGAGAAGATCAGGTCTTTTCGCTGCACTTGACATCGCCCGTAACCTGGCACCACGGCATCCAACCACTGACTCTTGCCATCGTCACTAAACGTCCGCACAGATGTCACTGGTAAGTCAAGAATCACTGCACGGGAGCCTTGTTGTGGCTGGCCGCGATCGTCTAATTCCCAGCGAATACGGGCTCCGGCTTTTAGAGTCGCATCTCTTTCGTCGATCTCGCCACGTGAGGTACGGTAGATATGTTCTTCGGGATGATCGGAAGCCAGTACGGCATTGAAAATGTCGATATCTTCGACAGTCATACTCCCTATCGACGCGAGAGCAAGTGACTCTACCGACGAGTTCAAGCGAGCACGCTTGGAGAAAACGCCGTAAGCAAGCCATTTCCACCAATGTCCATAGACTGGAGCCTCGACTGGCATAATCTGCATTCGAATTGAAAGTTTCGTGGTGGTTTGAGTTGCCACAATGGCCGAGAACATGGCTTCAAAGTCCCGCGGGTGGAGAACGGATACACAGAGCAAATGCACGGCACCTAACTGAAGTGGCTGGTCTTTCATAGGTAAGTCGTAGCTTGGAATAAGAGGCTCTCGTGGACGTGGTGTGCCATTGAAAAAGCTTCCCATCAACTCTCCAAACGCCTTCCTTTTAGCACGTTCAGTACCTCTCAATTTATTCTCCAAAAGCAGCCACGACGCTGCCAGTGAAAAACTCATACCATCAGTAGTTAATGCTCTCATAGTCTGGATCATCTCGGAAGTAGCCTCATCCTCGCCAAAATCTGCAGCCATAGGTTGCAATACAAAAGTGCAGCGTAGAGATTTCGTCCCTAGCTCCTGCTTTTCCTTACTCGGATCGTAATTTTCCCATTCACTTCGTATCTTTTTGTCAGCCTTGTGCACATCAACCAGTACTTTGACACACTTCGTCATCACTGCACGAGGAAGCATCAGTCGTACTGGAATTGCTATGTCTGCTGTAGGCTTTCCAGGCTTCAACTTCGGGTCTAAAGCTGCGATTTTCTCTAAATCTCGCAGATATTCCCTACTGGGATGAAGACGTTGATG